TTGCGGGGATATTAATACGAATTCTCTAGATTTCTTGGTGGAAGGATCCAAGAAAGGCAAATAAAATTTATTCGAGGTATCTATCAAAGTTAACGATTAGGATGACGTACCATTTCATTCTAATCGCAAGATTCGTAGATCGAGCAGCGTTATAATCAAATTTTCCCGCACTCGACGAGAATCGACTCCAATTTTATTTAAAAAAAATCCAAATCAAAGTAATACTAGGAAAAGGAGGAACGGGAAGCCAGCAAAGTGGTATTGTGTAAAGACGCGGATAATTTAAAAAGAAGAGAAACCAACGAGGGGAAAGGCGCTATCGGAGGGATATTGCCAGATGAATTCTGCGTGCGTGGCGTGACCGGAAGCAGAATTTTCGTGTTTGAATCTCGGAATCGTGTTGATCACGCGCGGCCGATTTCTTTGGCCGCGATCTTCAAATTTCATTCTTTTCCTGTGTGTATCGTGAGTATCGTGACGAGCATAGGTGTCAAAGAAAAAAAAAATCTGTTCTCTTTCAAGAGCGAAAGATTAAGGGAAGAGAGAAGAAGAGAGAGATACCACGAAACAGTGATCTCATCGTACCTACCTTCTCCCCCCTTTCTCTTCTTCCCTCTCTCTTTCTATGAAAGGATTTTAAAAAGTACGCGACCTATTGACCGCGACCGTCTAACCTATTTATCGCAGTCTTTGGACTCGTTTTCTCTCTCTTTCTCTCTCACTTTTCTCTTTTTCTTCTTCTCTATGTACCTCTCGCGCACGCCTAGTACGGTCGAATACTTTCATTCAACGACCAACATAATCTGTGGAGAGTGATTGGCAGATTCGAATTTCAAATTTTCGCGATCGATCTTGATGCGTTTCGTTTGCAAATTATTCATGTACGAACTCGTTACGTTATCCTTTGTTATTTTCAAGTTTTCATCCCGCGTCTTCGAACTTTAAATTTCGCACTTTCCATAAATCTAATCGTTTTAATTCCACGAACTCTCTCTCTCTCTCTCTCTCTCTCTTTTAATCCTACATATTAATTTCCAAATTTCAATTAACCAAAATTCATTGACGCACTATACATGAGCAATTTTTCCTCGAAATTTCAATAATTCTCAATTTCCATATTTACGGTAGAAAGAGAACAGTCGAAACGAGGAGTAACAGAGAGAGAGAGAGAAAGAGGCCGAAAGAAAAATGAAAGAAAATATCAGTGATCCATGGTGCCGTGTGTCGCGATCTCTCTCTCTCTCTCTCTCTCTCTCTCTCTCTCTCTCTCTCTCTCTCTCTCTCTCTCTCTCTCTCTCTCTCTCTCTCTCTCTCTCTCTCTCTCTTTTCCTTTCTTTCTTTCTCTCTCTCCGTTTCGCATATTCTCGCTCATTCAGCGAAAGATGGCGGCCTTCTCTCACTCGTTGGTCCGCTCAAGCGAGCTTAGCGAGAGGGGCCGAACTGTATGACGCAACCGTCGCTGTCACGTGATTATTCCGTGGCTCGGGCCTCGCTCGCCTCGCCAGTGTGTGATCTAACGTTTGTTACGACGGCCGACGGCGACGGGTACGCACCGGAGAGCGCAGCAGGAAGCAACGGAGAGACGGGACCACCCCAGAGCCGCCACTCTTGTCTCGCGCGACAATAGCGCAGGCTCTCTCTCGGTCGCTGGGTCAGTGGGGGTGAGAAACTGGCTTGGCTTATATGCAAAACGACAGTCAGTCTTTTTCTCTCTCCTATCGGCCCTGCGACAAAGCGCGACTCAACACCCGTTTTCCGCTTGGGATGTAATAATGCTTCCGCCGTTCTTTGGGTGCGCGGTAAAGCTGGATCCGAGGTCCCCCAAACTCTCGCCGTCGTTTGCCACCTTTTTCTAGCGAGAAAGAAAAGGTGGTGAATAACGGCGATATAAGGTTTCTCGTGTATTACGTGTATTTAAGATTTCGGAGTAATTTAACTTTTGAGAGTATTCAAGGATTTTTCAGTTTTATAACATTTTTCTGATATATACGTACTCTTATCTTCTATAATCTACAGATTTGGAGAGCATTCTTGATTTCTGTTTTCGAAATTTCATACACTTTTCAATATCTTTTAGAAATTTTGAATCTATAGATTATATATTCAACAAGGATCATACGAGTTGTTCTATAATATTTTTAGTACTATTATACAAATATATGTATATTATTGGTATTTTTAAATATGTAATACACATCGCGATATAACATATCCTCAAATTCCTCATATTATTAATTTTTAAAGCGATTTTGAATCCCTTATTAACTTTATTTATTACGAGTATGTATTTTTTATTTCTCACTTTTGAAATTTTTCATCCCTGTTCAGTTCCTTAATTCCGACGCGTAATTTTGGACTCCGTAATTCCGTAGATTTTCTAATTCGCGACTCGACACTTGTACATAGCACGGGCTCAACAGTGGAAATCGTGTTCCCCCAGCTGTACAGACAATATTGAGAGGCTCTGGGAATATGGAAAACACTGAGCGAGCACCGGCCATACTTCAATGGATTCTCTTGACGACACACTTCTTCCTTCGATTTGATGTGTGGATCGTAATTTTCGCAATCCTCGTCAATTCTCCAACATTTAAATTAACGCCCAACTGAATATTCACATGTGTGCGTGAAAATTTTACTATATTCGTATTAAAATGTTCCTAGAATTATTACGACTACGATATATGCTTCTTATTCATGGATTTACGAAATTTATCTCTCGCAATATGATTACCAAAATATGTTTGCAGCAGAATAATTTGGAACAATAATAACATACTTGCACATTATTATTGTTTCTACCTTCTTGTTTTAATATATTAATTATATGGACGTTAATTCTGAAAATATGTTTGCAGAATAATTTGGAACAATAATAACATACTTGCACATTATTATTGTTTCTACCTTCTTGTTTTAATATATTAATTATATGGACGTTAAATTTTGATTGACTTTGTCATTTCTTTCAAGCAAAAATCTTTTTCTCTTGATTATTCATGATTATTAGCACGCTATTAAATTACCATAAAGTCTCGACATTATGATACTTTCAAATAAGTAAAAGTGCAAAATCGAACGTCATTTAAATTCTGTCTACATGCCTATACTACTAGCGCTGCCCAAATACGCCGCTGGGCCCCGTAATTGCGCTAGAGACGCCGGACTCTTAAGCCGCCGTTCACCTCTTGTCGCGCACTATACTTTCTAAAGCTGCTTACTTTCGTAACTCGGCAAATACCGCGCGGCCGTCGCGAATTCTTTTTTCCTGACCAGTCGTCGAACGAACCGGATCGACATGACGTTTTCTATGACACGTATCTTTCCGTGCCTGCGTCATTTTTTTTCATCGCATTTTTTTCAACGCGATGATTAAGAAATCTTGAAAAGAATCAGTTTTCTTCTTTTTTACTACCTATTTTATGTTTTCAATACATGCATAATGATGCACTTAATACTCAACTCTTAATTTATAATTTTAAATTGATTTTTTTCATCATTCAAATTTGTGCGACTTTTTACTTGTAATTAAAACATGTTTTAAAAGCTAAATCAGCATATCTATTCTACTTCATCATATTATAATATTGATAATATTTTATGTAATGTGTATTTCATACAAGAAACAAATATATATATAAAAATTATATTCTCTTTAATGTTATATTAGATATAATTATATATATTTATTATATTTCTTATACGTTAGAAATTAAATAAATTTTCAAACGAACTGCAAGAAACGATTCTCTTAAACTATATCATATATTCATTGTTGTATAAAATCTTAATAAAATCTGTAATTTTATTAAAGAAACTTTTTTTATTTAATTCCAAAATATTTGTATCCACATGCATGTACATTAATTGCACACAATTCGTATATTTATTTATAATTTTCATGTAGTCTTATGATAAGCATGCTAATCTTTTTTTCATATCTGAGACCAAAAGTTAGAGTCGATAATGTAAAAATCTTAATTATGGCATCGACTGACTAACTAATATTGAAAATCTACTTAAACTACTATTTTTAGCATGGTATGATTAATAATGATTAATTATGCTAGACATGATTAATCACACAAAAACGAGCAACAATTATATAATAATATAAATTATATTATGAGTTTTTTTGTTTTTATTATAAAAATTTTTAAACGCAATTTTTTTAAATATACAGTCTATAGATATACATGATATTCTGTAGACAGTAATTAAATACTGTTTTTTTCTCTCTCTCTTTCTCTGTCCCTCCCTCCCTTTCTTTCCCTCCTCTCTCTCTAAATTGTTCGACAATATAATCGAAAATAACGTTGCGATATAAATTAATAAGAAATTAATAAATATTAAAACACAGCAAATATATAATATCGTCATATATCCGTTTCTTCTTATCGAATATACTTTTTTTTAATAATAAAAAACAGTATGTACGGCTGACAATTAATAAATAAATTGGCGCGTGCTTGCGCGTGTTGCTGTACGTTCAAATAGTGGTAATCGCCTTGGTCAGTATTTAAATATATGTTACGTAACGTAATGATATCCATTTGTATGCAGAACCAGATATGCGGTTGAACTCCATTTACTCGCAATACATAATTGACGAAATCTGTTTGAAAGTTAGTCGCAAAGAAGCCTTATCGTCTATCGTTTCGTTTTTGCGCGCGCGTGTCGTAACGTAAAGCGGCCGATCTAACGGGTGAGATAGAGTTTGGAATATCGTTATATCGAGAGGGAAAAATATAGGCGGAAGAGGAGTGAAGCGGACGCGCGTGTCTTTTGTGGAGGAGAGGAAAATGGGACCGGTTTGCCTTGTGCCGCTTCGCAAGAATTATCAAGAGATTGTAGTTTCGATAATCTAACAACTCGTGACGAAATCTCAGCGGCATTACGCGTCCATTCGCGCGTTAACGAGTGAAAAGCTGAATAGAACATCTTGGATATCAATGTGTTTGATAAGGGAATTATACAATATCGTATGCGCGACGCAGCAATATATAAGTACGTACACATCACACGTTAGATTATAATACAGTTAGAATGGATTACGGTTGAAATTTTCTGATTTTAATTCGACGATAAAAGGGGGAAAAATATAGCGCGCGCTATATTTCGTTCTGTCACGCGAGAGAGCGTGAGATACGCGCAACCGACCATTTGCGGATGCTAAAGCGCCATTTTCTTGCGCGGCATCGCATTGCGGCCATCTTTCGTATAGACGACCGAAGCCGTTTCCGTTTCCATTTCGCATACCGGCGCTCGGATTCCATCCTCGCTATCTAATTTTACTCGTTGGCCTCGATATCGCATCGTCTTGCCTCATCATGTGCCATACCTGGATTTCAGGAGGATACTTCGCTAGTTTCGCGGAAAAGTAGACGATCGCCACGTCTTCATAGCTGGAACGAAAAATTTGGAAATGAAACACAATTAAATATGAAATTTTACACGTATTCTGCTAATCTCGATTGTGTGTTTTACAGCAACATTTACCTCATTTTTCTCTTTATGATTATTTCAAAATTGCCTTTTCAAATACTAATAGTAACACTTTGTTTCCTACTACATAATTATTTTATTTAACATTTAATATTTTATTATATAATTATATTATTTAATATTGAAAAATATAATCTATCAGAGATCGATAATTGTCAAAATTTGCCAACAACCGACTCTAATTCTGTCATCGAAGCCTCTTGAAAATATTGCGAGATCGACGCCAATGGCGCAGATGACATCATTGCGAAACGGTTGGCTCGTGGGGCAAAGAGACAGCGGTAAAGACCGTGGATCATTGCAAAAAGGAGGGGGTGGAGCCAGGCATATGATGTTAGAGAAGAGCAAAGACGAACGGAGATGGAGTGAATAGAAACAAGGGAGAAGGGGATATACAAAGGATGCAAGGAAGCGACGAGAGAGAAAGAGACACAGAGAGAGAGAGAGAGAGAAAGAATGATGGCAACTATGATGAAATGAGACAGAATCTCCGTGATATAAGCACGCCGCGGTGAATCTGCCGAGCAGAAGGGATATAGGAGAAGGGAACCAGGAAAGGGGGCAGCTAGGCCTTGAGGAAACGAAGACGAATGAAAGCACGCATCGTTTATGAACGAAACTCTAGCGCTGAAGTCAGCGCGGCTATTTCTTGAGCTGAAGTCAGCGCACCTTTTCTTAAAAAGTACATCTAAGATCCATACATGTACATACCACATATACATACACACACACACACACACACACACACACACACACACACACACACACACATATATATATATATATATATATCCCTCAGCTATTTATATTGTTTCCAATAGATTACAAATAAAGCCGTTTCAATCGTACATGTCAGAATACTGACGATAAATATCGATCGCGCGCAAAGGCATTGTAAATCATGAAACGTATAATGGATGAACATAATGGAAAAAAGTAAGCTTAAGTGATTAGCAATAATAGATTTACTGCAATTGTATATACGGTGTATATATATATATATATATATATATATATATATATACAGGTGTGTATGTGATGTATGTGGAGGGGGGGGGGAAGAAGGAGAGAGGGGAAGATAGTCTGTAAGAATCGCGCGTATATACATGCATAGACTGGTAGTAAGTTACGTAATCGACGATATCAATTATTAGGCAGTCTTTGAACATAGTCGTGACGAGTCATCGGCAACCTCGCGCTCGTCAATGCCAATATTACGACACACATTATTCCTCGCTCGTGATATGCCTTCGAAAGGGAGAAGGGTAGGAAGAATCCGGACTCTAATTACGCTACAAATTTCCTGAATGTTTTCTCTATCTTCCGGTGAGAAAGGACCATAAGCGCGGATGACAATTTTTGTTACCTATTTCAAATTTTCTTTTTTTCAACGAAAGGAGGAAAAAATTGAGTCTCCGAACGCTTGAAAAGCTACGACGGCGGAGAAGATGGCAATTCCGTCTTTCAATGATTTCCATCCCACGAATGGATTTACCGGTGTTCACATCCATCTTTTTCGCCGAAAAGCCCACTCCGGCTTTCATTCTCGCCTACTACCATTCCCAAACGATTTCTCGGCCGAAGATGGCCGCCGTGAGGTCATCGCTAGACCACGCCCTGCGAAACGGATCTTTCTGTTACGAGAAGAACCGAGAACACCTCAAGGACAACGAGCTTCGCTCCTGCGGGAAAAAGCATGCCGCCGCCACCGCCGCTCGCGTTTCTCTCTATCTCTTTCTCTCTATCTCTCTCTCTCTCTCTTCCTGGAAATCGCGTACACGCGAGCGGCCGATCTTCGCCGATTAAAAAAATATCTAAACATAATCTTAATCTGGCTTCTACATCTATAAAAAAAAAAAAAAATAGCAAAAAAAAAAATCTCTCTCTATATTCGCGAAAAATTGAAATACAAGAAATATATATTTGCACGCTTGGATATAGGAATTATCTAATACACAGATATATATATAATATTATACCTATATATATATATATTATATATATATATATATATATATATGTATATATTTGGAAATATCTAACAAATGTAGATTGGCTCGATTTATCAGCTATTATCGAAAACATGCGAAAATAAATTTATCTCTTATCGACGCTAACAATTGTTCAGACGCATGTTATATCGTTACAAAGTACCTCTCACTGTTTCGAGAGAAAATATCCTTCGGAATTATTTTTAATCGCACTAATACCTGGATTAAAGTGATCCTCGAGAAACTCTTCAATCGTTCATCCTCATTCCGCCTTCTCGCTACGTCTTCCTATTTCTCTCTCTTTCTCTCTCTCTCTCTCTCTCTCTCTCTCTCTCTCTCTTTTCTCTTTCTGTTCGTCTTTCATTCTTGTCGATCCGGCGGTATATAAGCTTACGTAAGATAGCCGTACCTACTTACTTACCAACCCACCTACTGATTATTCAGGGGATCAAGGCAAACCGGTAAACAGGCAGACAGATTAGTAGGCAGGTAGATGAGCGGGTAGGTGGACGCACGTTGCGCGCATGCTCCTGGTCAAACCTGAAGCCTGCCAAATGGACAGACGATATAACACAACGGAAATACCATTCTGCGGCGCTCCTCCCTCGCCCCTCGAGCGGTTCGCACTCGCCTATCCTCAGAGCCGATTTCTATCGGCCGGCCCTCTTGCCGTAAGGAGGAAGGGATCCTATTCTGGAGTCCTGGAAGGATCGCGGACGGTTCTCACGCTTGATGACGTAACCCGTTCGGATGCTTCTACGAAATTAAGAGTTTGTATTAGTTGAAAATGTAAGTGAGGGAGATTCTATCGAAGCGCAAAGGCCTCTTTCAACGTAAGAATTCGAATTCTAATCGAATTCAAAGGTATTTTATATGCACAGCGAATTTGCAGCGAGTCTCCCACATGTGAAAATATATCGTTAAAATACAATGGGATGAAAATAATTGGAAAAAATTCAGGAAGCTACGGCCTTCAAATTTACGTGGCCTACCTCTCGCATAGATGCACCGGTCTAGTTAGTAAAGGGATTGACGAGGAGGAGGTTGAAGAAAGGGAAGAGGTTCGGAAACGCGGATCTGTGTCATTGCACACGCGCGCTGTGTCACTTTGCACACTCTCCGCCGTGTTGTTCTTGGCCCGCTTGCGGAATACAACTTTCTTGCTTACACAATACAAGGTGACAGCGAATTCCATCGGCAAATTTTTAAGAGCGATAATTGATCTTAATTTTTAATCCCAATTCAATTTACTCCGCTTTTTTACGATGAATAATAATGAGTTACAGTAATATTAAAGTTTTCTTGCTTATTTCTCTCTTGCTCTCGTTATTTATTAATTTTAAAGTTAATTGATTTTAATAGAAATTAATTAATTGTATAGAATAAGATTTAATTCTATAAAATAAAATAATTAATAATTTAATTCTATAAAATTCTATAGGATAAAATTTAATTCTATAAAAAATGAGCTATTGTAAGTTCCACTAATAACATATCTTTATTTCTCTTCCCATACAGCATAAAACATTGTTGTAATATTTCAGCAATATTGTAGCAACATTGTAATATTTCCGCAATATTGCTGCAATGTTACAACAATATTCTGTGCTGCATGGGTTTGTATATTCGCATTTATATGTAACATATCTATATTTATGATCCGATTCAATTTTAATTACATCATTTTCAAATAGTTTTGAAATTATTACTATATAGTTTTATATTGTAATAGCTTAGATATAACTATTTATAAAAAATATATAGTACAAATAGAGAGAAAGAAAGTATATACGCTTCCTCTCATCGATCTCCTTCCGTCCATTCGTAAACTCCCCCACCACCGATCGTAGCACATGTAATGTGGACACGGGTAGGTATAGTTCAGAAATGTAGGGCATCCCCGGTATACGCAGGAAGCATCGCGCAAGCGCGCTTCTCTACGTGTCGTAACTATCATAAGTATAATGTTGCAAGATGTATAGGTGTATGTGTTCATGCTCAATCATGACAGTTACAATAAAATGCTCTATTGTAAATACGATGGCTCGTATTTGCGAAACAGTATTCTAACCGCTTCAAGGTGTATGAATTGAATCCATGATGGATGCATGAAAGAATTCTTCCATCTGCATGTTGTTACTTAGCTTATATCACGTTTGATATCTCCGATAATGTTTCATAAAATATCCTTAAATTATAAAATATCCTTAAATAATTTCAATATAATTTAATTATTACAGAGCTATTTTTACTTTAACTTGAGAAAAGGAGTATATAAATTAAACATAAAAGAAATTGAATTATGACTCCTTTATGTTAGAACTGCGAAATTTAATTTGCAAAGAACTGCAAGAAATTAATATTACATCAAGATCTTTTAAAATTTAACTATTGATAATACATCGTTTTTTATTTACATAATGACTCATATGCATTGATAATTTTTTTTCATAAAACGTAAAGAGATGCGGCAATTGTTTTAAATGCAAATTTGCATCATAATTGACGAGTTGTAAAACTAATATTCCTCGCTGCTAACATTAGCAAGAGCGTACGTAATTTTCTAGTCTGCAACTCTCTGTCTAAACATATATTTCTCTCCATTGGAATAGTTATCTTATTTATATGCCTTTTTTTCGATCATATACGTATAACTTCCGTCGTACAACTTTGAGTTATCCTTTTCTTTTTTTATTCGTTTCTATTTTATTCATCTCTAACACACGAGTTCAAGGTGCAAAATGTTTATGCGGTGTTTAAAGAAAAGAACTTGTATAATGAGAGACGGCCGCAAAAAGACGCGAGCGTAATTAATCGACCTTGTGAGCACTCGAGAAAAAGCTGCGCGCGCTAGATTTAGCACGATGTATAGGGAGGGATTCCCCTGCCCCTTTGTCTATCTCTCTCTCTCTCGGTTACGTGAACGCGAGCTCGCCATTTTGCCTCGTCGCTACTCTTCCATTCGACATCAGTCGACTCGTCTCGCGTTTCGACCTTCGGACATCGTCGTCAGAAAAAAAGAGCTATTGTCGGAGCAGTTCCTCGTCAAGATAGAGGAGAACGGGAGGACGGACAGGGAAAAATGTTGCCGAAGGGACGCGGAGAGGTTCACGAAGAAGTTGTCTTCTTCCTGCCTCTCTTTCTTTATTCTCTTTTTATATATATCATATCTCGTTCCCATCTACTTTTATATTTTTGCAACCTCGCGCCTCGATGGCAGAATCGAGATATGTCGTTATATTTGTTTTTACATTCCCCTTCCACTATTCCTCTTGTTTATGTAACTTCTTTGCAACGTCAGTCCTTACCTTCTTGATGATGAGGATGATGGTCTTCGCGCGTACAATTGATGCGTCTCTGTCCAGAAGAGTAACGATTCATTTTTATTCCCTTTCTAAATAAACGGTGCGATACGCAAGAAAAATCGTTTCCGCGAGAGCAGGTGCACGCGTGTCCTCTCGCTATGCGGAAGTACACCGGAAGTGTAACGAAGCTGCCAACTATACGGACCCTCTGACGGAGGGACGAACAAACTCGTATGTTTCATCGATTCTCACACACATACATGGGGCACGCATACATATACCCACATATACACTTCTCTACGATATTTATTTATTTTCATTATTATTTAATATCGTTACGAGTCTTATTCCCTTCCGCGGAATATATCCATCGTCGCGATCTCTCGCAAATTATTCGCTCGCGTCGCATCGCAACAATTGTCGTAATAATCATTTACGTAATATCCATCGGTCGCGGTTTCCGGGTCGTTCGAACCTACACCTAGTTTCAGTCGGACCGCCTCAATCGGAGTCGCTCTAAACCTGTGTAAAGCACATATATATTCGAAGCATACCCGCATTTCCACTACGGCTTATAAATACATATGTACACGCATGCACACGTACACACGCACGCCCCCGCTGCCCCCCCTCACCCCCCTTCCGAGCCACCACTCGCTCGCTCGCTCGCTCGGCAACGCCGCGTTTCACGCTCGCGCTCGCGTGCGTGCGCTGGCTGTTGCGTAACGCTGCGGAGTCATGCGATAGGGGGATAGATCCATCGGACGGACAAGGATGAAGCCGGAGCTAGGTACGAGCTGGGGGAGCGCGAACGAGAGGGGCGACGCTTCAGCCTTGAAACGCTTCGTCATGAGCGTCGTGCACGAAGCGTCGGGCTTGCCGCAGATTGCACGGACTTGCGGTTTCTTTTCGTGCTTTTCCAACGTTTAAGAAAAAGACGCGTTTCTCCCTCTTCCGAACTCACTTTCAAATCTCTACTGATTTAAATATGATATTTCATGAAAATAGAAAAATGTAAAAAATACCGCTAAAATAAAATTTATATGAAAAAATCATATATGTGATGTCCGACATGATTTACATTAAAATTAAATTAAAATTAAATTAATTTATTAAATCGAAGTTGATTTTCAATTACGTAAAATGATTCCAAATTGCGAATGTCTACCGTGCGTTTTGTAAAATTTTTCCTTCTGAATTTTGAAAATATGAAATTTGAATTTTTTATATTTTGTACAAAATATTGTAGACAAAAATAAACCGAGATTAGTAGATTTCTGACTAAAACATTTTTCAAATATATTGTTTCAATGTATTTGAAAATATCGTAAAAGTAGGTTACTGGGTAAGATTCAGTTTTTTTCTGTAATATTTCTAGCTCCTCGACGTTTCACCTCGAAGAAAACTTTCCGGTTGAAATATTTGTTAATCTCTCGCATTCTTTGCGATCCTCTTCGACATTGAATTCAGTTCAGGTGTTCTCATTCATTATACTTACAATAATTTTATACATGATATTATTGTAAAATATGATTAAATATTAAAATATTGTTGATATGACATTTCATTTTCTAGTTTGATTTAATAAGTTAATTATCAAATTATTTTTGAACAATATCTTTTACATTCTACATATTACTTAAAAAGGTCTCGAGATACTATTAAAAACTACTATTCTTTTATCTAAAAAAACAGTCTCTAGTTTACACATACATTTCTATATAAAATATCTTATATATACACATAATCAATACGCGACGCGATGGTTATCGTGAAATTCCTGGGACAAGGAAGCAGCGGATAATCCACAAGGATCGCGGCTCTTATCAATATCAACTTCAGATGAGCAGATCAGGAAGCGAAAGAATGATTCGAACGATTCGTTAAGAAAGTGGAGCGAAGAAGAGCCGACCCTATCGGTGGAGGAAAAGATCGAGGTAAGAAAGCACGAGGGAGAGGAAGAAAAAAAAAGGAAGTCCTACTAAGAGGGGGGTAGCTCGCTTCGACCTCTTGGTAGGCCTCGATCGATGCCGTCGTCATGGCGACCGGGCCGGCACCGCGGTGCTCCACTACTGATTATTTATGTCAAAGATTTTCTCCCCACAACCCTCCTCGAGGCTCGAAACGCAAACGCGAGCAAATTCTCCATTCCGGGGCGGAGGGGGCAAACGCTCAGTCTGGCAGCCTACTAGCCTACCCACGTGACACTGAAGATCGAGGGGGTTAGAGGGATGAACGGATAGGGTGGTGGAATATGTAGATAGAGGTGAAAGGGGGAAAGCGAATCTCCAGTGGTGTAAGTCGAAGCGAAAGGTCCTAAAGGATATGGCGAAGGGAGAAGAATTCTTGTATAAATATATTTTTGTCTGCTCATTTCATGCGTTACTTCTATTATATTCGCGTCGTTTCATCAATCATTGAACTTATTCTTGTTGCGATTATTTTCTGAAAATTCATGTTTCCGTCTCACTGTGAAAAAGACGAAAGAAAGAGAAGAGGATAGAAGGAAAGAAAAGAAAGGGTAGCAGAAGGGAAGCAATCAAATATCCAGGTCAAAAGGAGAGGAGAGTAAAAGTAAATGAGCTGAAATCTATTCTGGAATGAACGAGTCCCTGACATTCGCGAAAACAATCGCTTTATTAACTAAGAGGGAGGAAAAAATATTTTTAAGAGCAGATAGAGACGAGGAGGAAACGGCGATATAATAAATATACACCGCGTAAATAGAACGGTATCATTAGGAATGAAATTTTCTGTCCCGATTATTTTGTTTGTAACGGCACAAATTGGCCAGAATGAGATGATATAAATCGGCGCGGGGGAGAGTGGCGGACGGGGGTGGAAACAGCGGCTGCCCCCTGTGCTTTCGACCCAGTTTCATCCTCGCAAGGTGGTGGCAATCGATACTGCGGGGCCGCATAGAACGCGATGGCAGTGCCGCTGTTGCGCTGGAAGCAAGAATTGGGAAGTCCCGCATCGTCGCATTATGCGGAATTTGACCTGGATAGGCCCAGCAATCAGTCCCGGGATTCATCGGCGGCATTTAATATGCGCTAATACTCCGATATGCGCCAAATGTAATTTAACGTACACTGGCGCGTGAATTTTTCACGTGTATAATTTACACGTTATGTAAAATGAATACAATGTAGCGTCGATTTTAACGCATCGCGAAATGTGGAACGATTTGTCGGCTCTCGTGTAAACGTCGCGATAAGCGAACGTCGCGAAACGTAAACGCACGCGTTACAACTCTGCTTTTATCTGCCGCGTAACCGACGTGAAACAACAAATAGCGGCTATCGAAAGCTCGGAGGTGCGCACTGATAATTCTAACAGTGGGCGGATATGTGCTATCGGACGCACAATGAAGGAATGTGATCCATGGTGGTTAATATACATGCGTCACTTGAATGTAAAACTGACGCTATTAGAAACTAATGCTTTCTTCGATCCGACCTCTTTAAGAAAAAAAATGCAAATTAATCTAGGGCTAATTATTTACATTAGCGGACATGCCTTTAATGACCTTGATATTGTATATTGAAAATAATATATATATAATTTGTTAACTCGTGTCTTAATTGGCTTGTTTTCGGCTTGCTAATTTTTTAGGTATTCATGTAAAATTATTTATTAAAAAATGCAATACGTGTTAAAGAGAGATTCTACTTTCAATTTGCTATTTTTCGTGTGAAAAAAAGTCTTTAATCTATCATCGCTCGATGTTTAATGTAATATTTTTATGCATTATATATTAAACTCTCTAAAAAGATATCATAGATGTGTTCATCTCTATATAATTGTCTCTATTATATACATCTTTCTAGTTGTTTAAACATAATCTTATCAACATAATGAAATAATATGAATCATCCCATTCTAGCAAATGTCAGAATATGAAAGAAATTAAAATGAATTTTTAATCCTTGTAAATCACACATTTTTTGCTCTATTCTATACATACATATAAGTCACAATGTTTTGTCGCGCAGTTTAAGCTATCTCAAAATGCTTGAAAAAAATTTACAAAAGTTTATGTATATTTCATTAGACATTTGTAAAAAATTATCGTAACAAAAAATTGAAAAATAAATTTTATATATATTTTTATTGATTAAAACTTGGGATATTTTATTGCTAGAATATCGATAGGGTCAAAATGATTCATATGTGACCTTTAAGAGTTAACATTATCAATAGTATGCTTTTTATTTACGATTCTCATTGATCACTAGATAGCGAGTGGAATAATTTTCTGGAGGTGGAATTCATCGCAGCGCATACAGATTGCGAGGCTTAATAATTCATCTTTTTTCTAACCGATCAATCATAAAGATATTGGGAAAACCTGACCTTTGGAAAATTTGAATTTTTCTTATAACCCTGTCATGAAACGGATACATTAAAGAAATGCTAGAAAAATTACTACTATGTTTGATTGTTTTATAACTATGATGCGAAAAATATATGCCTTACTTGATACATAAATAAAAGAATCTTTCTATCGAATGAAAACAGATTGATGTATTGTTTTCGGCAATTTATATATGTATATACTATATACAATGGCAAACTTAAACTGCGACAATTTTCATGGCCATGATTTATAACCCATTTATTTAATTAAATGAAATACATTGCTGTGTGTGAATTGTGTATATAAATTTTGGAGCATATTGAAAATATACAGTTACTTGAGCGATGATTGCGCTAAACACGCCTATTAACTTGATAAATATTTCAGAGTCACAAGACAGTACAATGCCGACAAATCGTAAAAGATTATTATTTCATTCATCATCTTTATTCTCTACACGTACATCAGTTCATTATATAGTTCAATATCTTTTACTACCTCACACAAATCACGCAATTCACTCCATTACCGGATTAACGCAAATAATTAACAGTTATCCTTAATATTTACATGTACAACATTATCCTTAGTCGCTTCATATAATACAATTTGCGTTATACGCTATTCATGATCGTTAAAATAAATATCTTGTTCTTCAAATGCCTATAAAATCTCGATCTTCCAGAATCAAGATGTTAAAATTTTCTAAGAAATTCTTAGATCTGTTGATTTCTTTAGGTCCATTTTATGGCATTATTTCTAAGCTTCTCTTTTTTCAACTCATGATCTTTAGAAAAACTTGTGGTTTCTACGATTTTTAAGTGTTTATATATTTGAAATATATTGACTGAAAGAATATTTGAATTCAGATTTCTGAAATGTTATATGTCAAAATTAATGAATCTTTATTATATTATTTTTTTTAAATTTCTTAAGATTTACTAACATTTTATATGAGAAATCTTCATCATTTTTTCTCTATCGTTTTAAGGTATTTTTAAGTTCTTTGTTTTTTTTAAGATTTTCAAAATTGTCAATTCAGATCGAAATCTACGGCTTTTTATCCTTTGTCGCGATGAGGAATAAACGATAAGCTAGGATATAAGGAATTCGAGAAAGAGAGATTAATTCTAATTTTTGTTAAGTGTTTTTGCATTTCTCAGCAAATTACGTGCGAAGGATATCTTTTAAAAGATCGACTGTAAAATGAAAATGAATGTTTGAATAGAGTGTTTAGCAAGTCAATGTGACGATTATAGCAGCGCAAGCGAAATGTACAGTGAATTCTCGAATGCAATTTATAACCCAGCTTACAATAAAATTATAGATTCTAGAAAAAAATTGTATATAATAATTCCGCATAATAATAGTGTAATTTCACATAATAATCTTAACTTTTTTCAAAACTCTAAATTTATAATTTTTGAGATATTTAATTTTTTTCGCAATTTTCTATAAAGTTTAGAATATCGAAAAATTAATTTTTTTGTTCTTGTTTTGTACAATTTACTCAGTTTTCGATAAATCCATTATCAATGCTTTATTTAGACATCGATATTACATTTTATAGAAAGACGAATAATCTGGAAAATAAAATATCGAAAACATGATTTCTCTATCAATTTTCTATATTCTTCAATATTATTTTTTCTTACTGGTGATATTTTCATCACTATTTAAAATTTTGTACGTTTGTTAACAAAATTATTTCTTTATAGATTTTCTTAACTTTCCACACAATGGATGCAATTGATTTTCAATCAAGAAAGAGAAGCAGGAATATTACATTGAAAGAAAACTATAAATAACAAGAGCAATAGAGTGAGAGCAGAGTGTGAATATCGTACGGAATCTTGTGTGTGTGTGTGTGTATATATATATATATATATATATATATATATATATATATATTTATATATATACATGTCTACTGTCTATTTTAAGCTTCGTGAATTTATCGTACAAAACAATAATTGAGATATGAAATTTATATAAGATTTCTTGAGAAATGGTAGATGTATTAACCATGGCTGTAAATTCTAAATTTCCTGCAGAATCTTTAATCGCAAAGTGTCGAAGTTAAAGTAATTATATGACACTTGTCGGAAAAATTATTTTAAGACATGCTCAACGATGTTTGGTTGTCATTCTTATCAACAGCCGATATGTGGTCGGGATTTTCTCCGCGTGCAAAACGTTCCCACATCTTTGTATACAGCATTTCCATGCCCATCGCGTATAGCTTGCAATTAAACAGCGGGCTTTCCGAGCGGGCCTTCCAAACTTTGGCCCTTGTTGCTTTCAAACTGATAAAAATTAAGAATTAATTTAAATCTGTCATATTGTATTTACTTAAAAAACTGCAAAATTTTGCAATAGGTTAAAATACTCACTATTCTCTATCAGTACCCAACCTAATAGCGATATCTTGGTACTCTTGTCGTGTTCGCGCTACCAAATCCGGGCAGCCGAGAGTGTTCAATTGACTAGCAGCGACCCGAGAAGCTAGAGTCTCACCGGGTAGTGTGACCACTGGTGTTCCGGTCCACAAAACATCCATACTGGTCGTATGTCCATTGCAAAGTGGCGTGTCTAGACATACATCAGCTAATTGGCCTCGTCTTACATGTTCTTCTTTAGCAGCGACGTTGCTGAACAGAATTCTACCGGGTGTCAGACCCAATTGCTGTGCAGTCGATTGGAGATTGGGTTCACCGACCGCCGGGAAACGTAGCAGCCACAACACAGCGTTTGGCACATGTTTCAAGATCTGTAAATCAAATATTCATTTAAGGCAAACAATTCGGTGAAGATGTTCATTTTCTATAAAAATAATTTGATCGTATACTTACATGTGCCCACATATGAAGAGTGAGCGGATCAATTTTATATAACTGATTGAAATTACAATAAACAACGGCATCTTCCGGCAAGCCATACTGTTGCCTAGTTGTGATCACAATATTCTGAGGTACCTCTTCGCCCGTGGCAGCCTTGTTATTTACTTGCGTAGTGGTCATACCATTCTGCACAACAACACCGTTCACGGACATCTGGCATTGGCCGGAAGCAATCATTGTTTCAATCGGGGTGGTAGTCGGTAGCTCAGCAACTTTAAGCGAAATCTCAACGGGTTGTTTCTTCGCATCTGGTACGATTACCTCGCGAATCTCCTTTATTAAAGTATTTTCGATCATTGGGGAAAGATCCGTGGCATTAATTACTGCCACATTATCGGCTACCTTGCCTTTATGATTCGATTTATCCGCCAGGATTAAACGTTCTTTCAGATGAGGAAACATTTGCCTAGAAAAATAAATAATTAAAACTTTCTCAAGTGTAAACGGAAATTTTCATAAAATGACAAAAATATATAAAAATTGTATAATTTTTGTATTTTATTTCCATCAAAATACTATTTACAAAAATCCGCGAATAACAAACTTGCGTACTTGTGATCACCAATGAAGTAAGTGTGTGGCATGTAAGCGAGCTTCTCGCTATATTGATTGGCGAGCTCCAGCGGTGAGGTGACCTCGTCTGTAATGAGATAATCCATAAAACTTGCGCCAGAAGTGCCAGGATAACCCAGCCACATGACTTGTATCGCCGCCGGTCGCAGGGCAAAGATTTCATTTCTGGCACCCTTTGTATAACCATTCATGTTCACCAGAATATGGATGCCGTCAGCGTTAATGCGATCGGCAGCCTTGCCGTTACAGGGAATCTGTGACAGATCGACAAAATGCTCGGCTTCACGCGCGATCTTTGCGCGAAAGGTTGTGCCATCATCCGCACTAAGTGCATAGCAGAAAATCTCGACATTCTCGCGATCGTGTAAGCCAGGAATCGACTGCATCAAGTGACTAGTTGGATGATTTCCAAAGTCCGACGAAACATATCCAATCTTCAAGCGTGCGCAGATCGAACGCGGATATTTGTACGGCTGTTTGTGGAGAACATGGATCTGCAATGATTTATTCGTATATAAGTATTTAACTAATTGTTCTATACGCAGTATATAATGTGTGACTTAGAAATATTTATCGAATTACCCACCTTTTCGATACAAAGATTAGCATGTCTAGCAGCGATAGCCTTCCTGAACTCATGAGATAAGGGATAAAGCATAGAATGATGCGGATGCACACTGGGTAGTCTGTTCTTGTCCAATTGCTCGGCAACGATAGATACCAACTTCTTCATTCTGGCTTCGTAGTCCGTCCAATCGCACACTATTTGCAAACAGTGCGCCAAATTGCAGTAAGCGTCAGGAAAATCTGGTTTTAGCTTCAGCGCTGTTCTGTAAGACTGTATCGCTTCAGGAATGTTGCCGGAATCTTTGTGAATCGATGCTAAATTGGAATGAGCGTCGGCGAAGGCCGGATTGATTTGGATAGCCCGTGTGTAGCATTGCAAAGCGCCCTGTATATCCTGCATCTCTTTGAGCGTGTTTCCCATATTTGAATAAGCATCGGCAAAAGTCGGTTGTATGCGAATTGCCTCCTTGTAATGCATTAGCGCCTCGTTTAATTTGCCTTGTTGCTGCAAGACAGAAGCTAGATTGCTATGAGCAGCTGCGAACTCGGGAAATACTTCCAGAGCTTTAAGATATAAGCGAGTCGCTTCCTCGATGTAGCCTTGCTCGCGTTTTATGTTGGCCTAAAAATGGAGAAATCATTTATATATAATTTATTTAATATTTTCACAATTTAATGTTAACCGTAGAAACGGCGTAAGTTTGTACCAAATTATTGAGAGAATCTGCGTGTGTCGGGCAAAGTCGGAGGGCGGTATTGTAACATTCTTCCGCCTCGACCACTTGGCCCTTCTCTTTGAGGGCGTTTGCCAAATTGCAATAAGCATCTGGAAAGTTTGGTTGCAGTTCGATAGCACGGCGATACGTGTCGATGGCCAAATCAATGAGCCTATAATATCAAATAATTCTCGGTTGCATTCATCGTATGCGAAAAAAGTCGACAATTTCATTAGCCAAGTTTATATTAAAATAAAAATTGTAAATTGTCATTGTAAGTGCGAACAAAAATTGTCAACTCACCCTTGCTCGTAGTAAACGCACGCCAAGTTTCCATGTACGACTGCATTATTAGGACTGAGATTCAATGCGCGAAGATAAGCAGCAACAGCTCTGAAGCAATTGATAAATAAGAATTATCGATTATAGATCCCATTTCTAATGAACAAAAAATCGGCTGTGAAAAAATTAAGGTTAATAATACTAATATAAATGCTATCTTTTCTATATCCGCGAAAAAAGTTGCTCTTTTCGTTCCAGATAATTGTAGAGATAAATTGTTAATACAGCCCCCGATGTTACAAAGACGAGTCTGATGAACCTTTTAAGATAGCGCCTGATCCAGGAGATGCAGCCAGAGGTGGAGGGTCGCGCGATAGTATCTTCTATTTGTACGCGAAGCGCGGGCGCGATAGTACTCGAGGGTGAGATCACCGTATAGACGACCACGCACTGGCAGTCCATTCCTTCCCCATCCCGCCCGTCTTGGATCCCGCGGATCCCAGAAGTCCACGGATCTGAATGGAAAGGACCCTTGACAACGCGACTCGTTACATTAGCAGCGAATCCTTAGGGAGGCAGCGGATGCAAGAAATGCTGAATCTTCCTTGAGAGATCCTTGGAAGGAAGGAATTTCTTGGAAGAGCGCAAGTTCATGCAAAATGCGTCAAACAAGGATTTTCGAGGGAAGATTCGAAATTGAATTTTTGCAAAACGCACGAAAAATGTTGAGTCCACAAATTTCTCGAAAATTAAATCACTCCTTCGATCAATCCCGTCAAATTCGTGCGTGAATGATCTTTGGATATTTCCATTTTAGGATGTCCTAAATCGGAGTAAAACGGAGACCGAATATACCAATTTAAAGATGCGTGCAAATCCTTAGACCTCTTCTACGTTTCCATGGACCCAACGATCTTCTCGACGAACATGTTAAAAAAAAGCACGAATCCTTAGATGTGTGGATCCCCGAATACACAAATCCTTATACGTTGATATTTACGCGCGGGAAACGAAATAAGAATTACACCAGCGCAAATTGTACAGTTTTGAATCCACGTGGATACAGGACCCACTCATCTCGGGATTCACAGGTAATATCTAAAGCGGCAGGAGATAAAGCGGGAATTACAAGACCGCGAGTCCTAAGATCAGCTCCGGGAGGTGCTGGCAGTCGAAGGAAAGCTGTTTAACTCGTGAGCGAGCGAGCGAGATTCCCGTTTTCGGCGAAAGTCGTGAACGAGCACGCGTATCCTGCAAGGAAAGGGGAGAAGAGGGGCGAAGGACTTCCGTGGGGGCGGAGCGGTTGCTGAAATCGATAGTTGTCCTCGAATTCCTCCCACTTTGTGCGTGAAAGAATCTTCCACTCTCCCCTCTCAAGCTAGAGTCGGAATTGAGCCGAGAAATGCGTTCAATGGATCTAATATTATCATATTAATCGATTATATTTTGTCTTATATATATATATATATATATATATATATATATATATATATATATTTTATAGATATTTTTTCATTCAAAAAAAAGAAAGAAAATTTTTATATATATTATTATATATAAAATAATATGTAACAAATTAAAATAAAATGTATACAAATAGAAATTATTTTTTTAACTTTTTACTATACTAAATAAAATATTTTAATACAATTAATAGGTCGAGAAAGAGAGTTAATGTTAAAAAATATCACAATATATGAGCGATATTTGGCAAGCGACGATTGCGTAGGCGGAGGTAATATTGCAACCGAATTTCTTTTATTCTGTTGATGCTCGTTCAGACGAATCTTGGCGAAGATCGATAGAACGGCGGGCGTTAAACGTAGTTAAAGAGAAGGATGAACGTGTTACGTAGCCATGGAAGCGGCTTTTACAATCAATGATTTTCGAAACCTGAAGAATTTACACGCAAAGAGAGGGAATCGAGAATAGAAAGGATAATGTATGTATACAGATATATTAGAAGTAAAATCTGCGAAATTAAGAATCCTTTGATATTAAAAATATTAAAAGAAATTATCGATGAGATCTTTAAAGTGGTATCATCAGAGAACAACTATCGAGATTGCATTATAAACTACTGGGTGTACGCGTATTAATGATACGAGACGCTTTGCGTTCCTATTTTTCGTGGAAAATACATCTAGAGAGAAACGGTGCATTAGCCGAATTTTCATTCGAATACAAAGAGGACGATGAACTTGGAAAAGGATGTTACATGAATATCGATCCTTGATGTTCACTTGGTTCATGCGCTGTACTCGTTTGTTTCCGAATGCAACGCAAATATGTTACGTCTATTCATAGACTTAGACTTACATCGTCTATATATTTATATATTTAACGATCTCACTGTTCAATTCAAAGAAATAATACAGACATACATATATATCATACACACACGATGTTAATTAACATCTCTAGTAATATTTTTTCATGAAAAATAAGTCCTAAACTTATTTTTACTTCCTTAACTTTTTTCTACGATACTTAACGAAAGAAGAATTATTAATTATTAAATAATATTTCACTTAATCAATGTCATGCTTTACGACATACAATAAACGATAATGAACTGCGCAAATTAATTAACTTCCATCATCTATGTATATATGTGTGTGTGTATATATGTATGTATACAGAGATGTACAGATATAAAAGTTAAAAAATATAAATATAAAAAATATTTTACAAATATTTTCTATATATATAAATATGCGGAAAATATTTTTAATTTTAAATTTGTGACAAAAAGGAAACTGCAGAAGTAATGGAGAATCTGTAGGGCTTTGGACTAGCCACTAATAATTTTGTGTAATGTATCAGTGGAATAACTAAAGCCATTTTGATCTTGCACAGACTTTAAAACCGACGACGATGGAAATTTTGAGACGTCGATTGATCAATACTGTGCATGTAACATTATTTCGCCCATTATTATTATTCATTCACTCATAAACTTGATTCATTTAAAGAGCATTTAAATTATAAATAAGAAGTGTGTATGTGTTTAAATGCCTTAAAAGTTTTAAAAAATTGTTGACTTATGTAATTTTCGAAACTATAGTAAGAGAGATATAAATATTATATATCTATCATATCTTATAGATAATATGACAGAATTTTTACTTTGATTGGATCACTAATTATCACATATTCCATGCTAGTAGAAGTAGATACAAGTTTTATACATAATTCATATTATTTAATTATTACTTGTTCGTGTTACTTAACTTTAGATGATTCATAATTCGCGATAGAATTCCGTTTATAATTGTATGTGTCGTATGTCACATATCCTAATGTAAATAATTTATTTAAATATTTTCTATGTTATATGATATAATGAAATTATAGAGTTCTGTTCTGAATTTTGTCGCGAATTATAGATCGCTTTTAAGAAATAAAAGAAAATATATAGTGAATAAAGCATAGAAACGAACCTGTCAAAGATCCTAGCTTCTTTTAAAACATTTCCAAGATTGATATAGGCATCTAAGAAGTTTGGATCCAAGGCAACTGCTTTCTCGAAGTGATGTATTGCGAGCCATATTTCCCCTTGTGCGTTGAATACACATCCAAGATTGCTCCAAGCAACCGCAAAATCCGGTCGCGTCTCAATCGCCTTCAAGTAGCAGGCCTAGAGAAACAGAATGCGATTTATAACGACTTTATTCGCGAACTCAGAGAGACGCGCGCTACGCGCTATGCCCGACCTCTCATTGTCGCGCTGCGCTTTTCTCTTCTCTCTCTCTCTCTCTCTCTTTCTCTCATTCATTCACTCTCTGTTTCATACTACACTCTCTCTTTCCTTCTTTTTTTCTCTCTCCTTTTCACCCTCTCGACTCCGTAAAGAATATATTTTATCGCTTTATATCTTCTGTTTCCTCCCACGTTTTTTCTTTTTTCATTTCTAATCGATAAACAGTTTCAGTCTCCTTAGAATTCTTCCACGATTTCTTAAAATCATTCGTGACATGGATTTTTTGTTTCTTTAGATTTCATGGTCTTTAGAAATATGAAAGATTGCTAAAAAAATTTTACCAAAGTTTTTGAAATTTATTTAGCGAAAATCATCATTCCTAGATTTAATGAGAGCTTTCTTTAATAAGAAATTGACTATGACAAGCTTTGCACTTATGGGTAGATTAATCAGATGTTATTTATTTGATTCAATGATCGAGTCTTGAACTCCCCCCATTTGACTAAATTAATATGTTTAAAATAAGTCAAACGGTAATACTACATATTTATTAGCGAATCGATATTAGAAAAATTTGCAAAATTTTCTCTCCTATAATGCGTACGAAATAAAAAGTCAGAATAAAAAGAAACATTTGTAAAAATAAAAATGTTTAAAACAAAAAAACCTAAAGATATAAATTTGCACGATAATTCATACAATTAAAATTATGTGATAATATACTTAACAAATTTTCTAAGCTATGATCTAACAAATTTCCCAACAAAAATCAACATTCCTAATTAATATCCCTGTGCATATCAGGAATTTAGGAGATAATGCGAGTTTAATATATTCGGTAGACATTTCTTCCGCATATATCATTCTTTTTACAATCACAATCTTTGGTTTTAATTCATTTGATTTACAGATTCTTCGATTCTCTTCGACTATCGTCGTTCTTGAATGCGATTTGTCCTCTTTCTATGCTCGTCGAGGGCAAGAAAGGGAGTAAGAAATGGAAACAGAATGAACGAGGGTTGCCTCACAAACATAATCAAAATTGCATTCTCGGATAGGAATCAGGAAAGTGTTAAGGACAATAAAGGTATCCGGGTGCGCGCTAGAGGCGTCATCGTGGATAACGCGCGACTTCCGGTGCACGCGGAGTCTCCGAAATGCGTTCGGCGGACTCGGCTGCACGCTGAAGGCCGTACGCTAAAACCGAAGTCAACTAAAACGAAAGTCTCTTCTGGACTTGTGTGATGAAGTTACTTATCGATGAAAAATTATCACGATTTTTACGTAACACGATTATGACGACGGGATGACGACCCTAAGAATTTAGCGTGGATGATCATCGCGCGTGCCGAGAGGCGGGCTGCATTGATATTGAAAACAGAGTAATCTTCGTACCTAAACAATAAATAAGAGGGCATTTACAGTCGACCAGTCTCTGCAGGATGAGAGGTTTGCTTGGAATTAAAAAAAAAAGCGGAAGAGAAATAAAGGGATTGTGCGATCTTTTTTGTTACATATATAATTTAACATATTAAATTAAAACAGATTATTTAATTTTTTAAAAGAAAATTGCAATATTTATTCAGCTAAAGATGCAACGCTTACTTTCTTAATATAATATTTTATACTCAACTGCATAAATATTTATATACTCAACTGCAATATTTATAGAGTATGTAACATTTTTTTAAATTACTTTAATAATAAGAATGTAACAATATTATTGCAGGGACAAATGATAAATCTGAGACATCTTGTAACGTTTTAAAAATAAAAAAATCTTTGCAGAGTCTAGAAGCTTATTTAAGAAAAGCTCAATTTACATAATACTGATGCTTTATAAGTCTAAGCAACAAATAATATATATCGCCCTTCGTAAAATCATTTCGCAGTATCTAGGATAAGGAGCCTTTTTTCGACAGGAGCCGGTCGAGAGAGAGGGAAATTGGATTGAGTAGAGGTCTTTAGAGACCGGCCTTGGGAATTACTTTACCTGCAATGTACCCTTCGGTAGGCTGACTCGGTAGGTACGGCTCGCAAGCTCTCATAATAAACTTAGACCGAGAGACAGTGTGTTACTGAATAACCAGATTCAGATTCACCCTTTGACGAAGGAACCGGCGCGGTAACCGACCAATCTCACATTGCTCCTGCACTTCCCCTCCTAGAGTTGATCATCCCGTCCACAACAATAAGACAGCTGCGTTAATGTCTCTTCACTGATTACTCTCGCCTCAAATCTTTGTCTTTTTTTTCTTTACTTTCTACATACGTGTGTGCGTGTGTATGTGTGTGTACACAAAGAATTGATAATTCGCGTGTCTGCAAATGACACGCCTCACCGAGTTCGTCAGCCAGCTGTTGCGAATTACGTGCCTCAAATTCCTCGTAATCGAAACATAAATTACACTTTTTTTCCTCCTTTTATCTAATATAAATATTTCGTTACACTGTATTATCAAGCATCGCGTAGTATGAAAGAGAACGAAATAGCGCGATCAGCGATATTTTATATTCACGAGATTGATAAAAATAAACATGGCTGAAGGAACTCGGCAAGAAACGAACGAGCATAGCAGCCAGTTTTTGAGAATAGCGGGAAATATAACGGGAAGCTTTCCTCGTTGCTATCATTCTTAGGACCGAGGGCGTATCCGTAAATCTCATATCTATATAATTATGCGCAAAGTACGTTATTTGAAATAGCTAGAAACATTTCAAACGAAGAAAAGGAGTATATATATATTTATACGAATATGCTCTCATTGGTCGACGCCGCGCCGCGCCATGAAAATGTAGATCACTTGACCGTTTAACAATAGATCAATACTAGAAATCAACTCGTGGGCATCGTTAAAAATCTCGCGAATTTAACAATTTCGAATTTCACGATGTACCCTTTCATTTCTTTTAATTTTCTATTAATGCTACTGTAAAAGTAGCATTAATATTATTTTTATCTGTTTAAAATCTGATCCTTTTTCCTATGGATGCAAAAATTAAATCGCAATTATTTTTTTCGATGTAGCGTTCGACAAGTTTTGATTTAAAGGAATGGTCAAATGATCTCGCGCCAATATATATTTTTCGTACACACTGTAGATTCTCTCCCTCTCTCTTTCTATCATCAACTATTCATCAAAGTGCTGAAAAAAACACGCAGCATGTGACAATGCACGTATGCCACGATAACAGCAAAGTCGCACATTCAAAACAAGAGACAAGAATCAGCTCATTCATTAAATGTTCGCGCGCTGCCAGCCATCGATTTGAATTAAAATGGCATCCGATGACACTGGCTAAACAATGCTATAATTTGCGACAACATCAAGAGTCCTCGAAATAATAAAAAAAAAAGAATAAAATCAAAAGTGTATTTTTTCTCGGTGTTGCTGCAAAACGCGCAATGCCAGAGAGAGAATATTCTCCTCTTTTAATTATATTTTGACAATAACCCTAAACATTATAAAAAAGATTTGTGTTCACATATATTCTTGATTTTAGAAAATCTTTTGAAAGAGTATAGTAAAGAGTTTAACGTGTGATAAAAAAAATAAAGAAAAAAAAATTATTAAGAAACTTAAATCATGTCTTAAAATGTCCGACTAGATTTCGATTGTCTTGTTGTCGATTTGTTCGAACAAAGAAAGACTCATAAACTTTTTACCAAAGCATCTGGATTGAGAAAAATGCGTCTGTCAGAAATGTCTGTTATATTGTTTAGGGTTTTATGTTAAGAGACCGTCGCTTAATGTCGCTACGAAGGCTAGATTTCTATCGGCGACATGAAACGCAGTTCTTATAAATTTTACAAGATGAAGGAACACATGCAATTTTCGATTCGCTGTCGAGACAACCGCGATCGCGATGTTTCTCGCTTACTTGACTATTTCTTGATGGAGAAAGTAATTGTCGAGTAAAAAAATGAGAAATCCTCTTCTATAGATAATTCTATCAAATTTATATATTCTCGACGACGGAGAAAATTGCGTGCCGCGCTTGCAAGTTGCTCGGCAAAGAATGAAAGCTTCTCGTCGCAACGGCGCGAACGAATCCCATTCGGCCCGCATATTTCATAGAAAACTGCACACTGTAGCTCGTGCACATACGCGCGATGCATTTGTACTCCGAGATCAAGAGATGTGAAGACCCAAGGATGACGAAATATTTTTCTTAATTGAAATATCATAATCGATACATGCTCTACAAATTGATTCTCCTTGATCTAGAAGAGATATTAAAAGGATTATTATTAACTTTTTTGGATTCAGGAAGGAGGTGATGCAAGGAGGATGATTCAGGATAAGACAGATCAGTAAATTTTGTTAAAAATTGAAAAACCTCTATAACAATCTCTTACTAACTCAAGGAGTAATGCAACTATTCTTGACGATTCTGCCGTCTGTAGCTTGATCGAAGTAAAGATGCTCGCGAACATATGCATGATATATCGAATTAGTTTACTAACTAATACAAATGGTTCTAAAACGTACCTTTGCTTCATCAAGTCTTGCTAATGCTTTCAAAAGATTACCAAGATCACTCCGCACACAATAAAGATCCTGGAACAGGCGAAATATGTAAATAATTTGCGTATATGGTTCATCTTATTTAAGATAAAAAAGATTTGATACAATAAAATATAAATTCATTGAACTAAATAAGAAATAAATGTAGATTTTTAGGTCCACACAAAGAGCAATATAAAATCTTATTAATGTATAACAATTTCTTCACTATATAAAGAATAAAACTTTGCAACTTCTTATAACAGAAAATCTTATAACAAGAATTTCTTTTCTTTCACACACTTCTCGAGTGTTTTATATTTTATTAAGTAATAGTTAAACTGTAATGTGTTCGTAATGTTGGTTTTCTCACGGGATTGTATTGTAGTGCTGTGACGTATGCTTGAACAGCCTGTTCCATGTCACCAGCTGCAACGAGCGCTGCAGCCAAGTTGATGTAACCATCAATAAAGTCAGGCTTCAATCTGACAGCGTGACGATAGTTCTCCAGTGCTTCCTGTAGTTGTCCGCGTTCTTTATATACATTCCCCAAATTGCTGTAAGCCTCCGCCAACAATGGATTTTGCTTTATTGCTAAACTGCTGTAATGTGCTGATCTGAAATGCATAAAGTTATATTTTTATTTTAAAGTTATATTTTATTTCACAAAAATCTAAAAATTATTATATATTATTTATAATTATTTATAAATATAAATTTGTCAATTTTCATCTTGCAACATGTTTAATTTTGAATGTATCTACACTTAGAATATTGAATATGATAACAAATTACGTACTTTTCTAGCCTTCTACATTGGAAATGTATTGAGGAGAGCAAAAGAAGAACACCAGTATTGTTTGTTTCTTGTCGCCATAGCTGCATACAGTGTCTTTCAGCATTTTCATAGTCTCCTGCTTGATATTCTCTATGAGCAAGTTCCAGCAACCCTAAAATAAGAATTAAGATGCATAAGGTTTTTTAGTAGTGTTTGATTCACATTGAGTTCAAATTTAATAAAAATGTATAAAATATTTTTTCTGCAATTGTTACATATTATACGTTAATTGTTACATATTATAGTTACATATTATATTTTTCATTTTGCTTAATATCATAAATATTGATGAAACATATATAATATCATAAATATTGATGTAACATATATAATAATTAGCGCAATATGGAATAATTAGTTCGCTCATTGATAGATACATATGACAGATGCAAGAAGAATATACCAACATTGCAACAACTATTGTGTTGTGACTGAGAGGACAAAATTTTATAAAAATTAGAAAATAGAATTTAAAAAATTTTAAATTTAGAGAACATGTTAATAGTATAATAACATGTATATTATTCTTATTATTAAATTCTAAGTAAATTTTCGAATCATACATCAAAGTCTAAACTATTAATCAACGATCAATCACGAATTCAAACAAGCATTTCCAAACAAAGAACCACTTGGCACACGCCTGAAATATGACACTCCGATCAACATTTCCCGATCATCCACCATGTTTTTACGACCCATTAGCTCTGTGCAACGTCGTCTCCTTTAACAAAGAAGAGGTATTCCAAAAATATACGAACAATAAGTATCCACGTTAATGGTCTCATTATCGGACAGACTGATCAGCTCCTTGCCATGCGTGTCCTGAGCCACTACCAGAATATTCTGCCCATGTTGCCAATCGTCGTCGTCATTTTCCACGATGAATTGGAGTCCATTGGAGCCTTTCAACGTGCTGTTCTTCTCTGCGACGTGCACGCTCATCTTTGATGATGAAGCGTACTCTCTTACCGAGGGTTCTCGATTTCGTGTAACTTTTCAACCTCACTTTCGACTTCCTCGCAATCTAGTCCCGACGAATGTTCTGGATCAGTTTTTGACCTGTCGTGAACCTAACTTCTCCGCTCGTTTATGCCTCTTGCTCTGATTGTCGCTGCGCGCATAGATGATGCTGCGCGTACATTCTGTTCTAGCTGCCTCTCTGTTCCTCTTTCCCCCCCCTTCCTTTCCGACAGCGCGACGAACGAGCTGATTGGTCGACGTTGAAGCGAAGAATGGTCGAAACGGCAAACTTCAGGAACGTATGTATTAAATGTTACAAGTTTTATCTAAATTTTCTTCTTAGAGATACACTACATAGCTACATTTTTACAGTCGAAAAAAGGAAAAATTTCTACCTTAAGTTTATATTTGAACATTGATTTTCTTAGCTTAAAATTTAAAGGCGATCAATTTTAAATTTTAAACATTAAAAATTTTTTTAATCAATTTATACAAAAAAAAAATTCACTACACATTTCATACACGCACATATAAATCATACACATATCCTGTAATTGCTAGTACATCTGGGAAAGCTCTATGTGAAAAAATTAATCGAAAATGTAGAATGATTTTTTTCATAGAAAGCTCTAATTAAAGTTAAAGGATCACAGAAAATTAACTTTGACCGATATCATTGATTTGAAAACACTGCAAATTAATTACTATCATTGTCTATTAATTGCTATACACGTCCCTGTTCTGCGAGAGACCCACAGTTAGAGTAGTGTAAACGAGAAGGAGAAAGGGAGAAAAGAGGGGCAAGTTTCCCTGTTCGGTGCAGATGGTAGATGGAACAGATATTCAAGTGGAATATTATATCGCGTTTAACGAAAGAAGAGGAAGCGAGAGAGAAAAGAGACAGAGAGAGAGAAAGAGAGGGGGGGACATCCGCTATTAGAGAAGGGATAGCAAAGAGCATATCGACGACATGTTAGTGAGCATTTTAGGAAAAAACGAAAAAAATACTTTTTTATATCGAAGAATGTATAGTAATATATTACGATGATAACTGGTGTGTCTGATCAAAGTAAATTACCGATTAAAAATATGTATCTCTATCATATCTCTCTTTATATAATCATTGTAAAAGCGAAATGTACGCATGCAAATCTTATTTGTGAAATATATGTAATTGTTATACAATCTAAGTTGCTACAAAAATTGAACGAAACTACAATTCAATTAATTTTATCTATAAATAAGAAACGCGAAATAAGAATCGAGATGATATAATTTTCGTGAGGAAATTAGAGTTTTCTTTATTCATCTCTCATTTTCTCTCTCTCTTCCTCTAATAAATTCCTCTAATAATATTAGTCGCACATTGCTATCATAAATAGACCAACAATTGGAAAAATATTAAATTTATAATATTGAATTCTTTTCCCCATTTACTTGTCCCTTCTATTTGCACCTGTCCTTTTGTACGCTCTCTGCACGCAAGACGAAGCACGCATAATGCGCATACGCACACACGCACATATACATACTCATACATACATAATATACATGAAAATTATGAAAAGATGCAAAGAGTGCGATCGCAAAGAACGGAACTTACGTCTATGCTCGTGACATAAAAGGGAAAAAAAACCGAGTATAAATGAGTAATGTAATATGTTATAGGTTAAAAGGGTGTAGAAAAAGACGCTGCTCGAAAGCGAATTTCGAGGAGGCGTGGAGCAGACAGGCGCCAACGTACCGACAGTCGACAGCTGCTGAATCTCGTTCATCTTCAATATCACATTGGTGCCCGCTATCTGCTGGTGACCCTGCTGCTGCTGTTGTTGCTGCTGCTGTTGCTGCTGCTGCGTCTGCTGTTGCGCCTGCATGGCTGCGTCGACGAGGCTGCGAAATGGAACGGCCGATGCGATGCCAGGCACACGAGGCGGCGAGGACTTTGACAGCTGACGCGCCTACACACGATCGCACGTCGCGGAGAATCGCTCCTCGCGTCCGCGTGATCCGATTTCGACAATCGACGAGATTTCACGCGTCAAACGGTCCGATCTTATCGATGCGTGCGATATATGTACGTACGTGACGCGATTTTTCACACGCGCGCCATCATGAAATCCTTCAACGGAGTGCCGGAAATTCGAGAGTCACGTTCGGCCGTCCTCGGCGACGCTCGTGAACCTTCGGCGACGACGACAGAGACGGACGGATGAAAAAGAGAGAGAGGAAATATTCAATATATTTAACATATCAGCTTTTTGCGATTAGTCGAAATGGTCGAAATGATAATAAATTAGGAAGTGAAATTAATATAAGACGAACCCCGGACGAATATGTATCAAATCCACTTGAAACAAATTTTTTTTTCTGCTTTTTTTTACGTACGTATAAACATATGTTTCTTATTTTAAAAGCAAAAAATGAAAAAAGAAAAATAATTTAAAAAAAAATAAAATTGAATTTTGTTTTTAAGAAATAGACAAATAGAGATGCGATGTAAAATTTTTAAAGTATTACAAAATATCTAAGAACGATACAAAAAAAAATTATCCTACGTTTTTAATGATTCTCGAGCATTCTTGGACAGAGAAAAATTACATAGCTCGCCAAGTTGTAGAGCCAATCGATGGATACTCTCGCGCGATGTCGTGTCACGTGACATTTCCTGACAGTAGCGTTCAAAGCAGTTTCGTGACACTAGGACAAAATGTATACAGAATATTTTGTTTTGCAATGTAATTTAAATATAATTTATTATTTTTGTCTATATATATATATATATATATATATATATAAAATTTTTTAATTATAAAATAGATTTAATTTAATGATCTTTTGTATATTATATTGACTATTGTAGTTTTCTTTAAATATTTTAAAAATAAGATATATGTGTAAAATATCAGGAAATGTCTTGTACACTTTATAAAAAATCAAAATCATTCTTTTAAAAAAAATATCAATTTTAAAAATTTGATAATATATTTATAATCTAGTGAACTCTTGTAATAGCAAATTTTGAAATAGCGCTCAAGTACATCAGACGCACATGGGAAGTGAAGACAGCGATACAACCGCGCAAAAATATATTTCTTTTAGGTGGTACCTCGACTGAAAAATAATATAAACGAAACGTACCGCTACGGCCCTGAATTTCACGGTTCGCGAATAAAGTGGGGGACAAGCCGACAAGCTCGCTTCAAAGGCGTGCTGATAACAGAGGTTCCAGTGTATTATAAAATATACATCAATCAAAGAATTCTTCTGGAATTTGTTTAGATTGTTGTACGTTAAAGAACGAACGCATTAAAATATCTAAAATTATAATATAGTACATTTGATATCCTAATATTGTACACGCATGCGATTTGACTAGGATACTTGTGGATCGAAAGGATCCTTGCTGTTGTATCACGCACGATCCTGATGCTCGGTCCATCTTGAAACACGAGACCGGCCGGTTGAGACGATCGACGAACCGGCACGTCACGACGCCTCTCCCCCACTTTCGTCAGATTTCTTGCCTTGGCCTCGGGTCGTTCCGTTCTCCTTCATTCGCGGCTAGTCAGGCACCGCATGGTTGTGTGCTCCATCTCAACCTTGCTACAATTTATTTGCAAATTTATTATGGCGGAGGAAAAGGAACGCACCTTTATCATGGTGAAGCCAGACGGCGTGCAACGCGGTCTGGTCGGCAAAATTATCCAGCGATTTGAGGACAAAGGCTTCAAATTAGTAGCTATGAGGATGGTGTGGGTGAGTAGTTCTCGCGTGTAATTTTATCGTTACGCGTTGTAACTTGACGAAGAGCTCACGAGCATGCCACGTGGTCCTCCGTGATTGAGCCTCTCAGTAATATATTATTGTATATATTCGTTAAGGGCTTAGAATTGAAATTATTCTTATTCTTTTGTTTCAAATGAATTCAATAAACGTACATAGTACGTTTAAAAAAAGCTGATTATCGAGTAATGACGAGTCGTACTCTAATTCATGATATTCATAGATAGGTCAAACGTAACAGATTCAATTATTTTATTCATAAATTACAGATAAACTTGTCTTTGTTAAATCAGATATTGAGTATATATAGTATTGACATTGATTTGTGAGAAACGTAACAAACTGAATTAGCACTAATCTTAATAGTTATATATATCATGTATATATGTCGAAAGCGAGATAACATGTAATACGTAATATGGTCGTACAAAAGTAGTTAAAAGCACATTTTATGTCATTATTTTCGATCAATTGTCGAGATTCGAACTTCTATTAATGCTATTTGTAATTGTCGATTTGCTTACCATTTATATAAGAATTATTTTAAAGAAGTATATATATATACTTTTTTAACTTATATATGTACTCTTATATCTACATTTAGCCTACTGACGAGCTTTTGAAGCAACACTACGCTGATTTGGCATCGAGACCCTTCTTTCCAAATTTAGTTAAATACATGAGTTCGGGACCAGTTGTACCAATGGTAAGTTTTGTTATCATGTAATGAAATAATGTTAATACATACAATAATGAATTTCTTAGTCTTCGAAGCTAAATAATAGCACTGTAAAAAATTAAGTAATATTTATATATTTATATATTTTAATATATTTCTTAATAAATTGTTAGGTTTGGGAAGGCTTGAATGTCGTGAAGACTGGTCGTGTGATGTTGGGCGAAACGAATCCAAAAGATTCCGCACCTGGTACAATCCGTGGTGATTTTTGTATACAAGTCGGTCGGAATATTATTCATGGTTCCGATTCTGTCGAATCGGCCAAGAAGGAGATCAATCTATGGTTCGGCGAGAAGGAAGTGATCGACTGGTCGCGTGCGTCAGAGAAGTGGATCTATGAGTAAGGATTTCTGATGGAGAAAAATTATCCCAGAAGACACCATCTCTCTATGAAGTCTTTAGAGAATTTTCCAAAACCTCTACTGCCAACCAAGTTATATACAAATAATTCGACTTATTAGAAGGCTGAGATTTAAATAAAAATAATTTTTATTTGTAAAGAATGAATAAAAGATTGTGGCCCTCTTTATCAAAAGCTTTGAGATACTATGAAAAGAGAGTTGTAAAGTTATCTCTAAGATTATCTCATTGTCAAAATATTTAAGAAGATATAAACTACTGAATTTTGGAAGCAATCATAAAATATGAAAAAACATAAATCAATTTTTAGACAAATATTACGTATTAAATATTATAATTAGATATTAAATATTTTAATTTTTAATTATAAGTGAAGAAAATTTGTTTGTTGCCAAAAAATCATAGTATATCAATTTAAATGGAAAATTATATTAAAAGGAATAAATTATCAAAAGTTGAGAAATGGAAAATTTAAAAATTAGCGGAAATTAAAAAAAAATTAATGTAAAGAAATTGTCAGAAAAAATAAAAAATTAAAAGCTGTCGAAATATAAGAAAATAAAATCGAATTAAAAATGGGCTATCGCAAAAAAAATTACCTGCCGAAAAAATGCAAAGAAAGTAAGATGTCGAATTATTAAAAATTAAAATCTTAAGAAAATAAAATTAACTGCCGAATTATAAAAGATTAAAAACTGCCGAGATAAATGCAAGAAAGTAAACTGTCGAAATATTAAAAATTAAAAGCTATCGTAAGAAAATAAAATTAGTTGTCGAATTATAAAAAAATAAAAACAGTCGAGAAAAATACAAGAAAGTAAGCTGCCGAATTATTAAAAATTAAAAGCTATCGTAAGAAAATAAAATTAGCTGCCGAATTATAAAAAGTTAAAAGCTGTCAACAAAAAAGGCAAGAAAGTAAGCTGCCGAATTATAAAAAATTAAAAGTTATCGATAAAAATGCAAGAAAGTAAGCTGTCGAAAAAAATTAAAAGCTATCGTAAGAAATAAAAAAAAATAAAAGCTGTCGAGAAAAATGCAAGAAAGTAAGCAGTCGAATTATTAAAAAGCTATCGTAAGAAAATAAAATTAGCTGCCGAATTATAAAAAGTTAAAAGCTGTCAACAAAAAAGGCAAGAAAGTAAGCTGCCGAATTATAAAAAATTAAAAGTTATCGATAAAAATGCAAGAAAGTAAGCTGTCGAAAAAAATTAAAAGCTATCGTAAGAAATAAAAAAAAATAAAAGCTGTCAAGAAAAATGCAAGAAAGTAAGCTGTCGAATTAATAAAAATTAAAATCTATCGTAAGAAAATAAAATTAGCTGCCGAATTATAAAAAATTAAGAGTTGTCGAGAAAAATGCAAGAAAGTAAGCTATCGAACTAATAAAAATTAAAAGCTATCGTAAGAAAATAAAATTAGCTACCGAATTATAAAAATTATTAAAAGCTGTCGAGAAAGATGCAAGAAAGTAAGCTGCCGAATTAATAAAAATTAAAAGCTATCGTAAGAAAATAAAATTAGCTGCCGAATTATAAAAAATTAAAAGTTGTCGATAAAAATGCAAGAAAGTAAGCTGTCGAATTATTAAAAAAATTAAAAGCTATCGTAAGAAAATAAAATTAGCTGCCGAATTATAAAAAGTTAAAAGTTGTCGACAAAAATGCAAGAAAGTAAGCTGTCGAATTAATAAAAATTAAAACCTATCGTAAGAAAATAAAATTAGCTGCCGAATTATAAAAAATTAAAAGCTGTCGAGAAAAATGCAAGAAAGTAAGCTGTCGAATTATTAAAAATTAAAAGCTATCGTAAGAAAATAAAATTAGCTGCCGAATTATAAAAAAATATTTATTTAAAAAATTACCAAAAAAATTGTAAATAAAAAAATAAAAAAATTTAGCTAATAATTTAGCTAAATCAAAATATATAAAAAATTAAAAATGCAAAAAAGTAAATTGTCGAATTATTAAAAATTAAAAGCTATGGTATAAGAAAATAACAAAATTAGCTGACGTGTTATAATTCGGATAATGACATAACAAAGGAAAATGTTTTCCTTGATGTTAATAAAAATGCAAATGTATCCGAATCAAATATAATAGATATGGATAACGATATCTACAATATTGATTGTGTCTCATTTAATGACACAGTAAAAAAGAACATCCGAAATGGGAACGCTAGTAAACGAAAATAATCAGATGACCGTATATCTACAGTATCAGTATATCTACAGAAGCAAACTATTCTTAAAATGCTAATATTCGCAAATCACAGTGGAGATATCTAATTGTACTGTTTTCTAGCAGATGAGTTTTATAAAATGTACACACACATCCACACATTAATATGTTATAATTTTTGATTGCTGTTCAAAGCTATAGAATGTCATTTGATTATTTTCGTTTACTAGCGTTTCCATCTCAAATGTTTTTGTTTTATTATTTTTGCGAAACGAAAAGCTGCCGTTTTGTTTTTTCGCTTGGTATTTCAAAAATGAGATGCTTGAGAACTTGAAAAGTCATAGAAGAAAATCGACTTTAAAAACTATTTGTGCGACAAATATCTGTCATATCTTTTTAATATAACAGATATTTAAAAATATATATTATTTTATGTTATTATCCGAATTATAAATAAAATTTAATGAAAAAAATTACAAAAATCAATATAGGGAATATAAGAAAAAGTTAGCTGTCAAAACTATGTAAAAAATGTACAATTGTGAAAAAGTAAACTGCCCAATTCTAAAAATTTAAAAATAAAAAAACGCGCTGTCAAAACTTTTTCAAAAAGGAATGTGTCGAAGAAAGAAAGAATATTAAAGAATAATGTAAAAATAAAAATAAATTATTGTATTTTAATGAAAATTAGAAATATTGAATGTTAATTGCAAATGAACATTAATTATAATATTATTACAGAAACGAAAAAGAAGCATTTTACAACTTTATTAAGACACATAAATTGTATAATTGTTAAACCCTGGCGCGAATACTGAAAAGTTATAATGTAATAATTTAAGTCTTTTTTATAAGTAAAATAAAAAATTAAATCATTAAAATAATATTAATATAATATATATATTTTTTTTTGCGTTTCTTTTTTTTTATTCCATGTCTAATCAGGCTGTCTATAATTGTTATATAATCTAATAATTATATAATATGAAAATTTCATACCGATTACAATTGATTAAATTGCAAAAATGTTTTGTATTATATATCTTCATAGAGAAAAAGTTCAATATTATATGATGAATGGAAGAAAGAGGTAACTTATAGAGGTAAATTATATGATGTATGAATGAAAGAGGTAACTTATTTAAACATTTATGATACAATAATAGTAAACACTTTACTCATGAGAAACAAAAAAATTTACACTAAAAAGGCACTCAAAACGGATCAAATACCTATGTCTATATTGAGTCTATAATGATAAAAGAGAAAACGTAAATACTCACTATAACTTTAAAAATTTATATTCTGTATTAAATTAAAATAAAATAACAAAAGTATAGCATTGCAGAAAAATTTCGATATAAACTATGCTACATACATTAATATGAAACAATGCTTGTCTGAAGTGCCTCGAACCACTTTTGTAAAATGCAAAAAGGAAAAAACATTTTAAGGTAAAGATCAAAACTAATATTTTTTTATTTTAATTCTTTTTTTTAACGAATAAAAATATTAATATTAATAAGTCAAAGATTAAGGTAAGAAAATAATTGTAAATACTATATAATATAAAATTTACTCCTTTTAATATCACTTTATACTTTTCAGTGTTATTATGACTTCTTTATATAGTTTGGGAGTACAAAAATATTTGTAAAGAAAATACATAAAGAATATGGGCTTGTTTATCATCATGCGTCATAATAGCGTGTTGTGAGGCAATTGGCATAAAGAATATGTATGCCAAAGTAGAAGGAGCTAAGAATGTAAAACATACTATAAAATCATTCTTTATTGATTATTCTTTAATGCAACAGGTGTGTATATAAAATATTTATTTAAAGATATATTATACTTTTTATTTAATTTATATTGGGAAGAAAAATTTTTTATTTATAGAAATATATATATATATATATATATATATATATATACACACACACATATACACACACACACACACACATATGTTAGACATAAAACTAAAAAAATGTAGGTTGTATCGATTAATTAATTAATTAATATTATTTGTTTTATCTAACTACCAATTTATATATATTATTAACAATGATTTCTTGTCTACTTAAACTTTATAGGGTTGTAAGAAACATAAGAAATATAATCTTTTTTTATTTAATATTTCAAGCGTATGTTCATAGAATTTTAATTTAATTATTACATTATTAAAGATATTAAATAAAATAAGGAATTGAAACTGGCTTTCTCTGCAGTCCCATGACAGATTATATCAGAAATCATACTTTAATTATTGCAATATATCATGTAGCAAATCGATCTCAAAATAATATGGAAATATTTGCAGAAATCATATCAACAATTAGCAATTGAAAAACGGTTGCAATCGAGTTTAAATAAGAAAATGAGAATTGTCCAGTAGTACTTGCTTCACCAGTGCAAGTCAGAAAACCAGAAGTACCGTCCAATGAGCCTCTCGATTTTATTCAATATGTATAATGGATAATAGAGTGGTATTGAAAAAAAAGAAATTACTGCCATCCTTTACTAAACTTCCGTCTTACAAAAAAAGATTGGTAAGACTTGAACGAACGAAGAACTCCGATGAAACGAGTATACAATTGCTAGCGAAATATGAAAAGCTGTCTAGTTTTTTGACAGAAAAAAATATCCAGAGGCACAAATACTTCATAAGCGAAAGCCACGCGAAGATGAAACAGTAGAATAAAGAAGCCATATATTATTGTACTTTTATGTATAAACGTTTCAAAATAAAATCTCTATGAATGAAGTGTTACATTAGAAGTATTAGTATAAAATTAAACATCCATATAAGATTTAAAATTTTTGTCCTTTTTTTTTCCTAAAGATACTTTAAGCGAGAACTGCTTCTTTCGCAAAGATATCAAGCAATTTGAATATTTGATGTTTTTTTAGCAGTTTAAATTTCGTGAAAAAATTCGAGAAAATTAGATTTTATCGTGTTACTGTACATATCGATTAAATGCTATCAAATATATATATATATATATATATATATATATATATATATATATATATATATATAGCGTTAGTATTATTTTAATTTTTTTGTATACGAGAATCTATTTTTGATTCTACCGAGGTTTTAATATAGTTATGCACCTTAAGCACTTCGCTTCATATATTTCCAATAAAAATATATTAAAACAAATTATTTTGCAAATTTGTTATTCTAATCTTTATTAAGAAAGCTTGAATAAGGTGTATGAATTTTTTTCAATTTTTTTGGATATTTTTATCTATTAAAAAAACGCAAAACTGACCTTCCTGTACATTTCAAAGATGCCAAAAGATCATTTTATTCCTGCAATAATGCAGGATGAATAAACTTTCTGCAATAATGTACACTAAAAATGACAGATCTATATTTAGTAATTGGAAAGAAAGAGGAAAAACGAAAAGTGCATCTAAGGAATCTATAAGAATAAAGAAACAAATCTAAAATTAATAATACAATGTAAAGATTAATGTATTTTTTTTCATGAGAAATGTGCGCACATTTATGCATTTATTTATTTAGATAATATTAACTTTCAGGTGCATTCAGATATTCAACTTTAATCTTATTTTCTCTTTTTTATGATTTGTATAAATATAGTGTAATTACCTGCAAATGCTGTCATTTTTGTGTACTTACATTGGTGCAGAAACAATATTACAAGTACTATATTTATAGATATAACATCTGCATAAAAAAAGCCTCAAAAGTATAATGATGAAAAAAATATAATATTGTAGGCTAGCATAAGAGCATCAACCAATTATTCGATTACTCTGTTTCATCAGATTTGCAGTTTTCTTTTATAATATTATAAATATTATAAATAAGATAAAGATTTAGGCACGTTCCAAATAAATTTATACATTTTATGTATGTAATATTGCATATTAAAAGGTAATATAATCGCAATTGTAATAAGATACAATTCTGATACTAAGATACAATGTAGTGATTTTTGGATCCCACTGAAAAAAATTTAATTTGATTTATTATTGAGAACTGCGTGCAATACTTATTTTAAAAGCAAATTATTTTCGTGCCATGTATTACCTGTGTAAAATACCATGCACAGTATCGTATTGCCTGCGATGTATGAAAAGCTTCATCGATGAAATAATGTGGTTGAATATGATTGAGATATAAGAAAAGTATAGTATAAATAAGAAAAATATAGTACTTGTAATGAATAACATTAATGTGGAATACATAAATATTTTATATTTTAGTTTCATGTAACTGAGATGAGATACGACACTCATGATCGCTTTAGAAATGTGTCCACAAATATCATTTAACTTCAATAGCTGCACATTCGTCAAATTAATACTATTACGTTAAATGCATCATCACAGCAGCTTGTTTTGATTAATTTAATCTAACCTAACCAATTATATTATATGCTCCTCATTAAAATATGTAAAACTGTACTACTGTTACGTAACACATTTAATACGATTAATATACTACGTAATAAAGTGTATTACACTAATAATTAAATATTATTTTTAAAAGCATGGTAAAATCCATGCAGCATATGCTCGTGTTTATTCGACATCTGAAGACATTTAGGCCTGTTTTTTTTAGCTACACTGCACTAGTACAATTAGTTAAAGTGAAAGAAAATATGTTTGTTTCTTTTTAATTTATTGCACTAGTGCAGCAGTGCAGCTAAAAAGAACAGAGCCAGGGGAGGTTAGGTTAGGTTAAGTTAGATCGAAAAAGTTATCGTTTGACAGTTGGCATCTCTACAAGATAGACTGTGCAAGCACTGCGAGCGCGTATATAAAATAAACTTCAAATCGCTTCTAGCCTAACCATCTTCACGCGATCGACTTTACTTAAATTGCATCGCGTCGCATCGAATTATGATGCGGCGCCGATTTGCCCGAACGTAATTCGAGACATCACAATGCTGTATAAGCGTCGAATAAGCACGAATTGTCACGCAAATATGATAAATCAAATCAAAACTCACCGTTCACTGGTTGTTTCACAGGCCGCTCCATTGCCTCGCCTCAGGATGTCCCATTCCGATCTTGTTACACAAAAACTCACACGATATCATCAACGCGAACACGCGACACTTTATTCGGCACTCCCGATACTCACTCGCATCCGATAATCATCATCAAAGGCGCGAATAGTGCGACGCAACTTCGCTCCACCTTCGCGATGACGCCATTACTGAATACTGTCAAAAACAGCTGTCGCGCGCTTCCATCGATATATTATGAAAGTCGCGCGATCATCCTTGGACACTCTCAACGCTCGTTCACTCGCGATATTCGTTCATTTACGGTTAAAAGACGCGAAAAATGCGGATGTACGACGATCCGCGTAACTGCGTATGACTCCGAGTCACGTATGACGTAGCAAATGGCGGCGAACTAACATGGCGGCCGAACCGGTGCGCATTCGTTTCTGCGCATGGCCATTACTACGCTCGACGTTCGCGCGACTTTAATTTCTGAATATTGTCTACAGCTTTGATTAATAGCCCATAACAATAAATATATAAAGATAGAATCAATTAATCATATTGGATCATTTGGTCATTGGTAGATTTGCCCGAAGAAAGAGAGAAAAAATTTAGATATTTTTATTTTTCTTTAGTAAAGGATAGAAATATCTTATATCTTTGACTAAATACACTTATTTCGTTATCGTTTCTTTAGTCAAATCGCAAAGTCGAGATTAATATAAAGATTCGTGATGCATCAATCGTATAATAAATTAATCAATAATTTAAAATACTTCTCTTAATTAATTTAATATTTCGCATATATGTATGCTATAATGTATAAAATATTTTTGCAATCAATTAATAATAATATCACGTCCGATCTTTGCGATATAACGCAATATTAATCTTTACGTGCTTTGCTTCTTACCATTCGCGCAATGAATTCGAACATAAACACGATTAATTTGATAAGTACATTAAGAAATAATTTGATATGATTAATACTTAATATTATATATGTTAAATAATACATAAAATTATGTCGCGACAATAAATCTCGAAATCCATATTATAATTATATACAACTTAATCGAGAATTGAGAATTAAGTAGGATTTCAAAATATTAAATAATCACTTCGATTATTGCGATCTTTACGGACAATAATTATTATTTTAATATTTCGAGTAACAAATATATTTCATCCGTGTACTTTACTATGTTCTACTTGACAATCTAAATATAATTTGGAGATATTAATTGAGAGAACGTGCAATAAAATAATTGAATTATAAATACAAATAATTAACATAACGAAAAATCCATGAATTGTTCATAATAAATGATAATAATAAATAATCAATTTTAATCAATAAATTAAAATACTTCTATAATTAATTTTAATATTCCGCGCTCGTGTATATTTTATTATAGTATATATAAAATATTTCGGCAACGAATCATCAATAACACGGTGTTCGACTTTGATATAAACAGTAGCGCGCTATTGTTAATATGTTATGGCTTTATGATCATTCGCACGACACTCGAGCAATAAAGTAGTGGTGCGAAACGCTTCGCATATTGTCGAATTTTTTTCTAAACACGATTATGATTAATATCGAAACATATAATTTGATATAATTATTAATAATTAAAAATTAATTAACTTATTATACACGACAAACAATAACTTATGAAACTTATAAACCTGTATTGCAACGATAAATCTTTATCGAATCGCAATCATTAATTACTGTGAATAAAAATTGAAATATGGGGGACATAAAAGGAGATAAAAGAATTAATTTTGTTATGATCTTTCGATTATTAATGGTTATTAAAATAATTTTCCTAACGATACTTATTAGAATTAAATAAATTTCGATAAATGCTTTAAATTTTCTTAATCGGCAATCACTCATAGAATATTTCAACGACGAATTATAACAATAACATAGTATAAGCCGGCCTTAGCAATATAAACAGTATCGCGGTAATGTTTATGACTTGTGATCATTCGCACAGTAATCTTGAACAATAAAGTAGTGACGTTTCATATATTCTCTCGTTTCAAATTCTTTCTCTACATAGTCAACCTTGGCGATATAAACAGTACCGCGATAATGTTTCTGACTTACGATTATTCGCTCAATGACTCTTGAGCAGTTTAGTAGTGATGTGAAACGTATCATATATTATCAAATTCTTTCTCCGAACACAATTGCAAGTGCAACGAGGAACTTTTTGTGAAAGAGTGTAAGTGCAACGAGGAATTCAAATCAGTGCAACGAGGATTGAAATGCCACGAAGAAAAAGCGAAGAAAGCAAAAGAAAAAAAGAGGTTTTGGAAATGGAGGACCAATGATGAGATATGATGTAAGTCATTAATATAAATTATTTATCACATTTATTATTTATTATATTGTGGCGTCCCGTCCCGCTGAATGTATTCGTCACCCCGTTAAATTCTTTCGAAGAAGATCATTTCCGCGCGTTGTCAAGATATTATAAACAATGATTGTCAACAGAGTCTGTGCCCAGCTATCAAGCTATGCGGACGCGCATCTATTTGTGATCCGTTTTACGATTAATTTGAATTCTTATATGTTACTCGCGGTTTATTAAAATTTTTGTGCATCTTAAATCGCGTTATTAGTTACGAGCATCAGCGTATGCCAATTGTGTTGCACGCGTTCGATATATATCGTTCCGCGGACGCAACAATATATAAATTATTTATCATTAATATATATTCAAATTATACATATTTCATGTTTCGTTTTATTTCT